GAAACTTTTAAAACCTGCAATTCGGGAAGCATGGAATATGAACATCGTTGTAGTCAGCGTGTCAATGGTAAAAAAAAAATCAATACGATCTGTCAACTACCTCCATAAAAGTATGTTATTGCAATATCGTAATAAAAAACTCGAACAATACTTCATCACATGCACTTGCCGCCGGTCGGCGACTTCCTAGTTGACAACTCTAAACATTTGTATAAATAATAAAAAGAAAATAAATAAAATACACCCATACGACAACAACAATTTGGACAATCCCTATTGAAATTTCAACACAAATTCGTTTATGTTAATTGCGGATGATAAAAAAATAACCAATTGACTGATTTGATAATCAACAATGAAATGTGCCTAATCAGCTGAAATTAAATGCTTTATTTCAAATGTTTGTCATAAATCGTTTTCGTTGTAGAACAGAGCAAATCTTTAAATATCCACACAACTTACCATCATTGGCATATGGGTCGAATTCGGGATCGATTTTTGGCGTTAAAAATGCTATAAACAGATTTAAATGAAAAATGCCCAAAGCATAGCAGATGATGTACCATCCTTGGTTTAGAAATATGCGCAACAGGAATATTAATACTAGCACGCCCGCTGCACTCCAACGCAGTTTTGTGTGTGGTGTGGAACGATCCAAGGCAGATTGATAGATCTGTAAGAGAATTAAAGCAGCATTAATGCAATGGCCAACAGAGGTTATTGAACAGAAAACATGATGTTTGGCATTTTGTCATGTGGCTGACCAGCCAAAACAGAGGGGACCTTGGACTTACTTGTGACAAACGTTGAAAGAACTTCCTCACACCGCCATTGGATGACGTTGACGCCGTCGTCGTATCTTCATTCATCATATTCCTCCTTGTGGACGATGATGACTTTTGTGTTTGCTTATGGTGTTGTTGTTTTTTGCTATATTGCTACTTGTATTAAACCTAATTACTAGCCTCCTCCTTCTCTTGTCAACGTCGTCGTCGTCTTATGCTAAATCCGAAAAATAAATATTCCAAATCATAAATGTTGATTATATTGATTGAGCTACGCAAGTAGTTATGTTTATGAAAATTATTTAACAGAAAACTGAATTGTATGGAATCGCCGTAGCCGTCTGTCCGTTAGAAATGTTGGAAATTACAGATGAAAAAGAATGAAAACACGTCATGTCACGGTTTTCTCTTGCTCATTGAAATTCGCTGAAAACCACTCTCTCATCGGTGTGTCGTGTAGTTGTCAAGATTTTTTGTAATGGGGAAAATGTCTCAGACTTGCTCGCGTGCTTCAAATGTTCCATTCCATTTTCACGTTTACTCATGTCGAGACAGGTTCTAGGATTGGAATCAGCACATTCATGACTGGCCCTTGACTGTTTCCTCAATAATTAACCTTTAAGTCAAGTCCAAATTAAGAGATAGTATGGGAATATTCCAACCGACCGCCCGCTTGCGATAATGAATTGTGAACAGAACACAATTCAGCCCATTCAAGAACTTTTTAAATGAGAGTTGAATATTTCGTTTTCACAACACTCTGTATTTCCAAAATCATTTGCTATTTGGGATGCTTACATTTTTTCACAACTTGCACATGATATTTTATAAAAATATGAACAATTTTCTCCGTTAACAAGAAAATTTTATTCAAGTATTTTCACTGACATTCGCTATTTTTCTTTTGGTTTCTTTTCCATCAATTATCTCTTTCTCTCTCTAATTTTCAACCCACCACCACCACGTCACGTTAGGGACGTATAGATCGACTTTTGATTAATCGAATTATCGATAGTATGTCTTAGGCGCATCTTTGCGAATGGCACACACCCACTGAAGGGCTAAACAGAAAGCTCGCATTGAGTGATTTTATTCGCTAAATATAAAAATAAAGATGTGCTCAAAATTAGCAGAATGGCAAACTTAGAAAAATGTTTGCTTTGTTCCAGCACCTGAAAAATAAAAATAAAATATTTTTAAATCAATGATTGGAAGGGACACGCATTTAACATATCAAACAGTTTTGTCGTGGAATTGATCGACTAAACAGGTTGAATCCTATGTTTAAAAGAAATCCAAGCATTTAATTCATTTTCGCTGTATTTATTTTGAAAATGAAAAATATATGAAATAAATGAAGACGGAACTTGTTGCATATGATTGTGAATAATACTCCAACCCTCCAACACCTTTTCTAAATGAGTTTTAGCTTCTTATAATCCTTTTTTGACATTAATTTTTTTCAACAAGACATAACAAAATCATTATTATTATTTACTACTTACTTGCGTGCTTTTGCTCCTGTTTTGCGTTTTTGTTGGATTACGTAATTACAGATACCACCGGTTACATGTGCTCTGTTCTAGAACCTGCAAAAATCTACTAGTTTTGCAATTTTTTTGATTTCATAAAGGAAAAATCGATTATCGTTGTAAAAAGTACTTGCAGTTCTGAAGCGGAAGAATGGTGACTGCATAACAGCAGCAATCACTACTTCGAACTTCACGACTTCCAATTTTTTTGGGGCGTCACGAGTTGTTTTTATTTTAAAATAACGCAATAAAGGACGGCGCGTTCATTGTACCAGTAGATTCTTGCAGGTACTGAGACAAAACAAATATTTAACGCTGCGGGCTAAACAAAATGAGCGCGTTTAAATATTTGCTATGTCCAGAATCTACTAGTTTTGTATTTTTTCGATATCAAAGTAATAAACGGTTGTCAGTTATCGTTTACATTTGTTCTGAAACAGAACAATTAACTAATAAGTATTGGTACATAAATACTTTGGGCATCGCTCTAACGGAAAAATCAACTATAGATTTCAAAAACAACAACAATCATAGACGGACGTTCAGTATCGGTGTTTTCTCGATAATATTTCTGGGAAGAAACGTAAAGTTTGACGTTTCGTACTGTTTAATATATACAATTCTAAAACAAATTTATACACATGGTAAAATTAAGAAGGTAAAGTCATTTCAAATACCCATGGTACAATGATATCAAGGTAGGGCTACGATACCATATGATTTCATTTTTTTTTATTTTCTTGGCTTAATATGTCATCTTTATTTGTTTATGTATGTGTTTTCTTTTCAATAACAAAACAATTGTTCAGAAAACATTCAAATTAGGATGTTTTCAAAATGTTTATTTTATCGTATGCATCGACAAAATCTAGAGTTTTTGTAGCGAAATAATCCTTTAGAGATATATAGAACCTGGTTTCGAAAAGTAGTGTTGACCTTTCATTCAGTTTTCGCGGTTTTCAATTATGTATTCAAAATAAATGCAACAAGTTGTTTGATTTTTTTTATTGTTTTGATACTAATTCTGACATTACAAGCCAAACAGGTAGACCTCTATACTTGCAATTTTTTCAAACTTGGCCTACCTTATTTTCATTGTACCATGGGTATACCCATCTCTGCATTTCCTGTAATTTATGTGATAAGGTAAATCACTACATAATAACAGGTTCCTGTCACTGATTTGTGTATATACGATTGGTTTATAAATATAAATGTCGACAATGAGATTTGTCAAATGAATAATTTTGAAAAAAAAAACGCTCCCTAATGTGGCGTTTCCACTGCACTTGATTCGCTCTCTATTCGTTGTTTGACCCTTAACTATGAAAAAACTACTTAATTCTTCACACAAAATTTCCTGAGCGAACACTCATATTTGTACATTGTTCAAATCAAATCACTCTCAGAATAACGAAAAAATATGTCCCATCCCTAACAAATGAGAGCATTTATCGAAAAAATTAATTATGACATTTAAAAATTGAAAATAGAAAAATTTAATGAAATTTTGAAAAATTTTGGGAAGACTGAAATTTATGAATGAAAACTACAATGTAGAATAGCGTATGCACATTCAAACGAAACTAAATTTTGTTTTCTCTCTCATCCGAGGTACGCATTTTGTCCACGAGTTGAAATTACCACAGAAAACAGGAAACAAAAGAGGCAATATTTTCAATATGTTTGTATCGGCAGAAAAAATGTTTGACAAGTGTCTCTCCAGCAGAATTTAAAAATAGAAAAATACAAAAATATTTTCAAAATGTCAACATTTACACAAAAAGTTGGAGACGTGAATGAAAATTATAAAATTAATGTTATAATAAATCTTTGGGAGAAAAATAATCATTTCTTCTATTCATATTAGTGAGAATTTAATGTATTTTAGTATAAATTCCCATTAAAATCAAGAAACAAAATTTTGAAAAAAGGAAAATTTTTTACTATGAATTACGAATCGTACCGTATGAACGGGTTAATTCGTGTACTTAATTCTGAGAGCGAACAACGTTGTTCGGTTTCCAATGGAAACATGCTATAATTCTACCATGTTTATGCATTGCCTAGATATATTCCCATTAATCGTTTTATCGATTATTTTGTAGTGTTTGTTAAAATATTCATATCATTACTTTCTGCGCCATCTACATTTCAGATTAAACACATTTGTATATATATATATATTTTTCGATTTGTTTTCAAAACCTCAAACCAAATCGATTTTACATTACTTGTCAGAAGACATATTTTGTTGTATTTATAGTTTAAGCATTGTCTCCCTTTGTTTTATGGTGTGGACATCAATAGATGTCGCTATAACACGTCTGATAATCGATTCTATTACTTTTAAGTCTTCTTGCCAGCAAATTTTAAAGAAGACGAGATTGGACCGTAAATACGTTTTTGTAATCAAAGGACTGGCCGATCAGAAAAAAATTAAACTGTTCATGTTTAGTTTCGTACAATAAAGATGATATTGGTGATAATCGGCTCAGATTTGTATAGATAAAATGGCTTTCATATAAAATCTAATATAATTTATTGAGAATTAAATTCCACATTCCATTCTCCTTGCTCGCCACATCCAACAAACCATAAGTTCTCAGTTGTATGGCTAATTTTCTGCATAGCAAAAAACTTCAATTGGTTCCTTTAGCTAACATAAATCAATAAACATAACTTTTTAAAATATTTGAGATGCATTTATTGTTTTTTGTTGTTCCAAAAACATCTAAAAACTAAACTTAGATTTAAATCTTTGGATTCAAAAATATTATGATTTAACATGTTAAACTTGTAATAAGTACAAATGGCTTAGAAAATAAAAGCTAAAAATAAAATTACTTAAAAATATACATTAGCAGAATTGAGGGAGATTCTAAATGACTTTTCAAAATCTTAAATTTTATGACTCATTGTATTCTCCGGATGTGTGTTTGTTTCAATATTTTTGCTGACTTTTGCAATGAAGCGAAATCTAGAACAGCCACATTTTAATACTTCTAAAAAAATTGAACAATTTATATATTGAACAGTTGCTGTAATCAAAATGGAATTCAGCCTTAAGATGGACACTGAGAGTACTATGGCCCGTTGGTATAATTTGAGAATGATTGAATAAAGGAAATTTCCAATAAATCGAAATTTAAATCTTACTCAAACATACGTGATGTATTGTGTACAAATTAGAGAGTTTTTTATCAACGGACCATTCCAGCAAGCATCCATCCTTTTTTAAATTTAATATAACACTAAATATATAGTAATACTATTATTTACAAGAGAGGGTGGATATTTTGCCTGTGTATGCTTATAACTTATATAAAGTACATAAATATCGAATAGTTTAAGATAACGATACAGCTAAAGATGTAACATTTTAATGATGTGCTTGTTATAGCTATTGACTTGGAGCTCAAGGGTGCACTGTCCATTAACATTTGATAGGGACACAGACTGGGTGGTTTAACAAATGTGGTGAAATTGGGATAACGTATGATTTCAGAGGGCTAAATGGAAATAAAAAAGAAAACATATATTTAGTAATGTAATATGGAAGATGCAAAAAGAAAGTGAAGATACTCGAACAAACAAGCCAACACTGTTCTGATACTCACAATAGATACAGCATCATTGGAAACACGACAGAATGTCATGTGTTTGCCATTTATCAGGCTCTGCTCCACACGTTTGGTAAACAATGGCTCCGACCAAGGCAACTGATTGAGATGTGATAGGAAAGTGCGATCATGGAATTCCACTGGATCGGATATGATTAATTTATCTGTAAAAAAAGGAGAATTTTATAAAATTTGTTTTTCCACACAGAAATATACAAATCTACTTACTTAACAAGGACTCTTCATAGAGGATGTCTTCCTCAGTCATATTTGCTCGGTTGGGTTTCGTTTTGGCATAAATAGTGTCTGGTATGTAGTCCAAAATATTGCCATTGTAAAGGAATAAATTCTCCACGTCTGTCATATTAAGTGAATAGAATTGATAAACACCAAATGTTTCGAAGAATTCCCGCACTGGGGTCATACTGTAACAACCAGCCAGATCTATGCGAGGATAGTAGGTGATGAAGGACAGACACATTTCTTGTTTCGTTGAATAGCCACCAAAGGTTGGTCGTTTTCTTGATGAGGTCTGCAAAGAAGATGATGGTTGAATAAATAAATAAAAACAAACATAAATAAAATAAAAATTTAAGTAAATAACAACATAAATAAATTGAAATTTGAGAATTAGAGGTAATGGAATAGATTAATAATGACCAGAGGCGTAATATATATGTGTGTGTGTATAATATGATCAAGACATTAAACTAAAGAACCAAAGACTTTACAAAAATTTTAAGTTTTAATGTCTCTGAGACACTTTTTCTATGCAAGCGGTTAAAAAAGTGGACATGCTATAGAAGCATTGTTTAGAGGAGTTTTAAAATCACATCCGATAAGGCCCAACAAAATATTTACAAAAGATGTTAAGTCAAATGCATAAACTGAACTAGACAAAAAGACTCATAATAAATAATTAAAAAAAGAAGCTAAATTCGGCCGGGCCGAACTTTTAATACCCTCTACCATTTGGAAGGAACTTGAACAATTGCAAAAAATTCCGAAAACTACCACTTAAATGAAAACCGTCATATGGGGACTATACGAAGATGTGGACCTGTTTTGTCGTAGGCTGTAGTGCCCATTACGAACTTCGAATATGAAATATAAAACAGTTCCAGTGAATAATGTCGCAAAAATCATGAAAATACCGAGCATCGGGAGGTACCGTTATACGAAGACGTGGACATGTATACAAAAATTTTTGCCATAGGTTGTAGTACCAATTAAGATCTTCCAATACGAAATTTGAAACGATTCCGGTGAATAATTTTGCTGAAATCATAAAAATACCGAATATCGGGAGGTACCGTTATAAGGGGGCTATACGAAGACGTGGAACTTCATACAAAAAATTTAGTCATAGGCTGTAGTACCTATTACGAACTTCAAATACGAAATTTGAAATAATTCCGGTAAATAATGCGCTAAAATCATGAAAATATCGAATATCGGGAGGTACCGTTATATGGGGGGGTATACGATGACGTTGACCTGCATACGAAATTTTTTGTCATAGGTTGCAGTATCCGTTAAGATCTGTCAATACGATTCCGGGGAATAATTTTGCAGAAATCATCGAAATACAGAATATCGGGAGGTACCGTTATATGGGGGCTATACGAAAACGTGGTAGACATGTTACATTTACGAACTTAATCTGTTTACTGGTAAACTATTCAGTACGGGTATGAACATTTTAGCCTTCTTTCTTAATTCTTTCGAAGGATAGCGTGATTACAACAGGCAAACGGACATCGCTAGATCGTAGAGCTACGTTTCTCCCATTGTCTCATAATTTGCAATTATTTTTGTTCTTTTTCAAATGAATATTTTAAGTGTTTCGCGAAAATTCATATTTTCCACCCACTTACCTCATATGCACAGTCCGTTATTATGTAATCGCCTGGCAGGACAACAGTTTCATTTTCCAGCTGTCTGACCTGCTGATAATTGTAATCATAATTATCATCCTCAATGATCCGTGGCAATTCCTTGCCGTTTCGTACGTGTCGTAAAGTCATTTTACGCCCAGCACGATGTGAATGCAAAGTTCCGGAAATTATTTTAATACCATCTTCGGGAAACATCTGTGTATGTGTGTGCGCGCACCAAAAAGCGAAAAAGAAAATATTTTAATAAAAATTTCAAAGGTTACGATTGAATTAAATGGAAACATACCACGTTCGAGCAGGAGGGACCACATATACCAACATTGCGATATAACTTTTGGCCGGGCGGTATTAATTGGGTGTCGGAAATGGAAACGCCTGAAATCATGACGCCACCATCATGTTTTCGCAAATGTTTGCTGTAGTGAATACGAAATCCGGAATGGTCGGTGGCTGCAAAAAAGTTAAACAGTTGCATAAACAAAAAATAAAAACCAAAACATTGAAAGTGGCCATAAAAACGGAAATGTGCAAAGGACCAGTAGAGTACATTGGTTTTTTGTGTTACCTTGCAAAGCTAACGGATTATCGTAGTGTATTTCCAGCATATAGTATTTTGCTCCGCTCTTGCCGCCAACTGGTATTCCAACATGGGGTGGTAGAAATTGACCTGGAAAACAAAACAATCAATGAAATATCCATGCACACCCACCCAAATTCCAAGCTATTGTAACAGCATTGTAAACAAATTGATTTGTTTTGCTGCCGGCCCGTGTGCCAGACACACCAACCGACCAACCATCGAACGAACGAAACTAACCTGTGGAGCCAATTGACCAAACGGCAACCGGTGTAATACAGGCATCCCAATCGCGTGGCGTCAATAAATTGCTATTGCAAACGGCACCGCTGCTCTTTACCCACACATCCCACGAAGCCGGATCAGAGCCAGGATATGATTTAGTAGAACATTCAAACAATGTCATGTGGTGTACCAACGGTTGTGAGGATACGCTGCAAAGGTTATATGAATTGGAAACGGGAAAAAATTAATAAATTATTATTTTATGGAATGACGTTCGTAAAAGAAATGAAAAATAAGAACATTTAATAAATTTTCGAAGATAAATTAACTCGTTTAAAGAGAATACAATCTAGCAAAGTCTCAATAAAAAGTGAAGATTTAGTAGGGGGGAAATAGATTAATGAATCTATTTTTGTAACGTAGCAGATAAGTGGTGAAAGGAAATAAAGTAAAATGCAAACTCATTGGAATGGAGCAACAACAAGACGTGACAATCAATAAATTTTACCATTATATGGGTACATTTAAGAGGTTTTGTAATATTGGATGATGCGAATTATAGGAAGATGAAATATTTGCTTCTGTTGACAGTTTTTTTGTCTTCATGGGTTTCAAGAATTAAGGGATATTAAAATCGCACCATACACTGACGTATGGGGCTCAAAAGAAAAATCATATAAAGAAAATATTTGTTTTCATGAAAAATAATGTTTCTGGTAATATTTCACGCATTTTCGTTTAAATTTTCATAAATATTTAGAAAGTACTATTCGTGTTGTAAGAACGCATGGTAGAATCAAGGAAGAAAAGCCATGCAAACATATGTGTACAATTTTTTCAAAAATTATTCATTTGACAACATCTCATTGTCAAAATTTGTATTTATAAATCCATTGTACATACACAAATCAGAGATGGGAACCTCTTTTTATGTAGAGAAATGTGGCAAGGTAAATTACAGAAAATGCAGAGATGGGTATGCTTTTTTGAAATGACTTTACCTTCCTAATTTTACCATGCAAGAACGTCTTAATTCGTGTAGATTAAAACCAATGATAGGTTTTCAAACGCCAGTGAGAACATGGCATAAAACATTATATAAAGGTGAGAGTACATAAAAGGATATTTTGACTGGCTGGAGAAACAAAGGATTTTTAGGTTGGTTAAGTTAGATCTTGTTTGTTCTTTTCCGAAAAAGCCAGCCGATGACTGAAGCCAGTCAAAACAAGTAAAAAAGTATCGGTCGGTTTTGCCGACAGATGTATACCCTCAGCCAATGTTCGATTATTTAAAAATATTTTGACTTCTGTTATTTGAGCGTTTGGAGCAGGTAGCAAATAAAATGGTCCGATTTCTACCATCTTTATAACAGATCTTGTGTTGATGGAAATATTTTAGATATACCATGTCTGGAATGGAATCGGATGTTGATTTCGCTTTTTATGAGCTTCGTGGATATTCAATTCAAATTTTGAGCATTTGTGAGGGATGTACCAGAAGCAGCGGGTCGATATTGTCAATTTTTGCACCAGACCTAGCACTGACGCGAATATTAGAATATGCAAAGTTGAAGCAAAATCGCATTATAATTTTTTTCTGTGCACAAAATATGTATTTTTTTTAAATTTCGACCATTTGTGGTGGAGGTACCAGAAGGGGTGGACCGATATATTCCATCTTTACACCAGACCTTGGGTTAATATAAATATTGGGATGTGTGAAATTTGAAGACAATCCGAATCTTACATCACATTTTATGAGAGTTGTAATTATTCAAAATTTTGACCATTTGTGTTGGAGGTACCAGAAGGAGTGGACTGATATATTCCATCTTAACACCAGACCTTGGGTTAATATAAATTATGGGATGTGTGAAATTTGAAGACAATCGGAATCTTACATCACATTTTATGAGAGTTGTAATTATTGAAAATTTTGACCATTTGTAGGGGAGGTACTTGATGGAGTGGACCGATATTGTCCATTTTCACACCTGACCTTGCACTGACGCAAATAATAGGATGTGCAAAGTTGTAGCAAAATCGGATTATCGTTTCTCTTTCTGTGCAAAATATATATATCTCCGAAATCTATCTAAGTTTGACAAAAATATTAGGATGTACCAAGTTTGGACCAAATCGGATACTCCCTTCGAGTGTTATCGTGCGAACTGGCTGGCTGGCGGGTGGACATCACTAGATCGACTCCATATTCTGAAACGGATCTGGTCCAAAGAGACCTAGTGTCTGAAACCGTTATTTCGACTAGGCACGTTTTGACCGTATCAAATGATATATACCCTCTGTAGCCATATGACTGTATTCTGCTACCATTTTTACTCTGCCAAAGTTCCGACGGGCAGAAATTTTAATACCCTCCACCACTTTTGGGGGACTTACAAAATGTAAAAAAAATTGGCAAAATGCTTTAAAAATTATCAAAATACCAAATATTTGGGTGGTACAATTATAAAGGGCCTATACGAGAGCATGAGTATGTCAATCATCTGTCACAAAAGGTTACCCATTACGAACTCCTATACTAAATTTAATACAGTTCCTTTGAAAAATATGACATAAATCATCCAAGTACCGAATATCGTTAGGTACAGTCATATGGGGACTATACAAAAATGTGCGACTATATAGATAATACATACAAACTTTAAAATAATTCCGTATAACAATGTCGCTAACATCGTCAAAATACCGAATATAATGATGTACAATTATATGGGTGTACCTGTATGGGAAATTTTCTGTCATAGAAAGTAGGTAGAACTAATGGTGAGAATACATAAAACGCATTTTTGACTGGCTTAAGTCATCGGCTGGCTTCTTTGTAAAAGAACAAAGGAGCGTAGGGTTAGCAAGTATAAATTATGGGCCGGAATCGCACTAAGTCAACCTAAAACTCCGTTGTTCTTTACGAAGAATTGAAAATTTGACAACTTCTTATTGTCAAAATGTTTATTTATAAATCAATTGTGTACAGACGAATCAGAGATGGGAACCTGTTTTCAAGGAAGTTAAATTTGACTAGATGAATTACAGATAAATGCAGAGCTGGAGTGAGTTTACCTTGAATTAATTGTACTAATGTTAAATCCAAATTCTAAATTTGAAATAATTTCAATGAAAAATGTGTCTAAAATCGTGAAAAAACCGATGCTAAGAAGTGGACCTGTTTAGGCGATTTTTATCCAAATTTGAAACAATTCCGGTGAAAAGTGTGTCACAAATAATAGAGTTACTGAATATTTGGAGGTACAGTTGTATATGAAATATACCAAAACGTGGACCTATATTCTCTGCAATTCGGTTTAAAATTGTGACGAAAACAGCTTAAATTTGCCGGTGCAGTCATACGAGGCTATACCATATATGGAACATTTTCAATACCAACATTCATGAAAAAATTGCTCAGATGTATTTTAGATCTACATCTGAGTAAGATTTAATCAATTTTCTACATTTCGTTCGGAAGAAATCCGTCCACAGACGGACGGATATGGATAAATCGACATACAGCTTTATGATTTCATTCTCAATTGATTTGTCGGTATCGCAAGGCTTTTAACGAAAATAAAGCAATTATAGGTTATGTATGTACAAAACGTTTATGTACAAGATGAAGGGACACACCTATTTGTTTTTTCTTCTTTCGTTTATTTTATTCTAAACCAACTAAACAACAATAAAAACAGTATATGATGAAATTGTCATTGTGGACCAATTATCTTTGTCATCTAACCAAATATTCTCCCCTACACATTCATACAAACGTATGTTCGTTCACACATACATATGTATGTACGGGGATGTAAGTTCCTTGCAAACGACGTTTATATTACTCAGCATTACGTGTTTAGGTGTTTTTGTCAGCTCTATTGACAATAACCGAGAACGGGGTACAACAATAATGGCGGGCGCCAAGGACTATTCGGTGGTAAACTGTCAATAAAAATGACATGGAATCTTTTTGCTGTTCAACGAAATTGTTTGTTTGCAAAACACGTCAAACAGATGGATAAGAACGGTCGTTGTGTGACATTCTCAACAAAAAAATACAAACCTTGCTCGTGTCAACAGCGCTTCGTAACCAATAATGTGATGTTTTTCATTGAGACTGGGTGCTTTAATGATTTTACACCAGTACAATGTGTCCATGGACGAGTCAATGGTGACCTGCAAATGATTAATATTAAACATTAAACATGTTAGAAATTAAAAAAACCCAATATGTTTTTCAGTAACCGCTACTTACATTCTGCACAGTAACATCCCATTTCTGAGTATCTTGCTGATGTCTTGTGGCACTTGAGGATGAAGGGCTGCCGTGAGTCTTACGAAACATTGGGCCAAGCAAATGTAGAGGTTTAAAGCCGCGATTTTTTCCATGTCCCTTTAAGTTGCCATGTATGGGATCGGTGTCACCGAAAGCCCAGAGAACTTTTATTGTGTCGGACTGTAAGGAGAAAATAAATTATAATAATAAATAAATTAAATATAATGCGTTTTAAATAAAGAGTAAAACAAGTTAAATCGTATCAGTCGGTTTTGCCGACCGATGTATACATATGATTATTCTTTATGGAGAGGTTCCGAAGCAGTTGGCCAATATTGTTCATTTCGTATCTGAACTAAGTCTTATATAAATATTACAACGTGCCATATTTGGACTATATCGTCTACTTCCTATATTTTATATGCGATATGTGCAAATTTTTGGAAAATGTGGAAATATGCGTGAGGTACCAGATATAGCGGACCGCAATATTCCACTTCATCTAATACAGATAACAATATTGTATTCCATTTTATACGAAATTTGTATCCCTTCATAAATTCTGATTAATTACATGTTCATATCAGATTTCTGGTTAAAGGAAATATTTATTAGATATATCAAGTTGTATAGAATCGTCGCAATTATGACAAGTATTGGAAATTGTGACTCTTTGTGGTTGAGGTACCAGAACGGTACCTCAATCACAACAGATTTTTCGTTAGCAAAGAGTTTGGATGTGTGACATTTGAAGAAAATCGGATGCTTATTTCGGATTTTATAATAGTTTTTGTTATTCGAAACATTGACCCTTTGTGGAGGAGGTACCAGATGAAATGGTCCGATCTCTACCAACTTTATAAAAGATCTTATGTTGATAAAAATAATTAAGATTTATCAAGTCTGAATGGGATCGGATGTTAATTTCGCATCTTATGAGCTTCATAGACCCTTTAAGGGTCAACACCAGACCTCGGGTTAATAAAAATATTGTGATGTGTGTAATTTGAAGACAATAGGACTCTTACATCACTTTTTATAAGAGTTATAGTTATTCAAAATTTAGACCCTTCGTGGGGAAGGTACAGGGTGAGATGAAAAAACTGCAACCAACTTCAGATTGTTGTAATTTCTAAGCCAGTCTGTTAAAATCATTCCAGCGACAGCTCATTTCATTTTTACAAGCGCGCAAAAGCATTTTGGTGAGAATTTTCCAGAAGAAAAGTTATTCGTGATTGAATTCAAGCGTGATAGGGTGATTTCTTTACATTTGGCTGGAAAACCACAAGTGGCTATCGTTAGAGCACTCTAGCATTTAAATGTGAATAAATCTTTTGTGTCTCGTACCATCGCTCGTTACCGTGATACTGGTAGCGTAGCCCGACGTCAAGGGAGTGGACGGAAGAAAACAGTAACATCAGCAGAAATGGTTCGAAAAGAAGCGACTTGATCGAAACCCGTGTCACAGTGGCCGAAAATGGCTCGTGAGCTGAACATATCGCAATATTATATTCGGCAAATACTGAAAAATGAAAAAAAGTGCAAGAACTAACACCGCAATAGAAAGAAAATAGACTCAAAAGAGCTAAAGAGTTGCTTCGCTTGGCCGAAAGTGGTGAACTGACGAATTTGGTTTTCTCCGATGAGTAAACATTCGTTATCCAGCAGTTTGTAAACAAGCAAAATGATCGTGTTTACATGCCAAAGAGGTCAGCGGCTTTTTCGGTTGATCACCAGAACTCAAGCGCCGGCTATGGTGATGATGTGGACCGCCATAACAGCCGATGGTCGCTCTTCGCTCGTATTAATCAACCATGGCATCAGAATGAATGACGAATAATATCGCGAAAATATTCTGGAGGGCATGCCTTGGGCACGCAAACAATTTGGCCGCAGACCTTGGACATTCCAACAGCACTATCGCCCTCAGCACGCGCCATCCAAGAATGGTTACAAAATGAGGTTCCTCGCTTAATTTCCAGCGCACAATTGTGTCTATTGTACCTGGATTATTTTGGAAAGCAAGGTTGGCACTAAAAAACACCAAAGGGTCGATCACCTCAAGCAAGCGCCGGGAATAGGCCAAAATACCGCAGAGCAACATTCAGCAGCGCCTTGGCCGTAATTCGTGCCAAAGGTGAAAAATTTGAACAAATCTAAACTTATTCTAAAATTTGAAGCTATTTCCGACATTGTTTTGCTTTCATTTAATAAAATTAAAAATTATGTCGTTTGACTTTGTTGCAGTTTTTTATCTCACCCTGTACTTGATGGAGTGAACCGATATTGCCTACTTGATGGAGTGAACCGATATCGACCTTTTGTGGTGGGACCTAACCGAGAACTGATGCAAATATTAGGATTTCCAAAGTTGGAGCAGAACCGGATTATCATTTCGCTCTCTGTGCAGCAAAATATTTTCTTTGAAAATTTCGACCTTTTGTGGTGGGGGGATACCAGAAGAAGTGAACTGATATTGCCCATCTCCGAACTCGATCTAAGTTTGATCATAATATTACGATGTACCAAGTCTGGATGAAATCGGCAACTTGCTTCGAAAGTTATCACCTGAGTTTGTAAATTCTTGGCGGACAAATTTTTTCTTGCAACACTTCTCCTTCCTGCGACAATCAATCAGCTGTTTCTGATTATGAGTTGATTTATTTGTGTGCAATCTATTTTAGAACATCGCTAGCCTTATTACTATGTTTTTTTTAATAAAATGGAACAATTCTTTTTGTGGCTAGTGGCTAATCGAGCTTTTACGTACTTTGTTTCTTTTTGCGGCAGACCATTTGCTATGTTTTGATAAATCCGCTGATTTCTAGCAATTTTTTCAGTTTTTTTATAGATCATGAAACTACAAGGCAAGAAGTTGCTGTACAATTCCTGTGGGGAAAAATCCAAACTAAGACTGTAAAGCTAAACGACTCATCAGTAGATCAGCTTTTCTGCGTTGAATCTTCTCATAGTTCGTTTACAATCTACAGTATTAAATAAATTCAGTGAACATTAATTTTGTGAGTTCCATTGGCAATTGGTTAAATAAATCATCATAAAGGTGGTTATTTTTACAAAAGAAGTTTTTTTATTTAATACTGTGGATTTTCTTATTATATCTGCTTGTGAGCGATATTTACACCTAAGAAAGTAAAACAGGATACTTTCATAAGAAATTTCAATTAAATGCCGATTAGTGAAAATGTTAACAGATAGATCTATGTTCAAATGACACAATCGATATTTGATGTTTTTGCTGAGTTCTCTCTCTCTCCCTTTCGTTCGAGAGACCAGTAACACTTTAATTTCACTCTCCTCAAATCTGTTTACCGCTAATCGTAAATAATTTCGTTTTGATTAAGTGAAAATATTCCTAGTATGTCCAAAATAAATGGTAATTTTCCAGTCGAATAATTTTATATTCAAATTCATATATCTTTTTTTGAATGCTTTAATTTGTTATCATCACTTGTGTGGTATTTTCCTGTAATTTCATGCCTTTCGCACAGCTCTTACATGTGTTCAACAAAATGACATCTGTTCGCTACGCATTGTCTGCACCATGGCTGGTGATAATAAAAAACACGAACTGGAGGAGGTGGATTGTTATGGCAATACGGCCCTATTAAAGGCATGTTACCTGGGCAAACTGGAGGCTGCCATAACCCTTTTGCAATTTGGCGCCAATGTCAGAGCTGTTAACCACTATGGTAAGGAGGCAGAATGGGGGTAGCCAAATAATAACAATATACATAAATCCTTTTGCACACAGGACAAAACGCTCTGACCTTGGCCACATGTTCGGGTAATATGGATTTAATACGTGAATTGTTGCGCTATTGTTCGTACAAAGAATTTAATAATAGCACCCTGACACCGGCATTGTGTGTGGCCACAATGCGGCAGAATTGGTCGCTGGTTAAATTCTATAAAGATTTAGATAATCACAATAGTGAAGATATACAGACGGCCCACGGTAAGCTCCTTAAAGGACGAAGGTAATAAATTTTCTACTGATAAGGTTTGTGTTTTTTTACAGGTTTGAATTGTGAGGATCTCATGTCGTTCTTTAATCTACGTAAACCTGTGGACTCAACAAAACCATTTAAAACCATACATGTGTAGGAGATTTTTGTGTGTTTTTCTTTCTTTGTTGATTGGGTGTATTGTGTTTTGGGTTAGTTTAAATAAATGTTATTTTTTGTAATGTAGTTTGATTTTGAAGCCCTTTTTATTGACTTACCCCCAATGGAATGTCGTAAGGATCACATGTTTCGATTTGTCTATAAAATTCCACCTGAGTATGAGTGCCGTTTTGAAAGCCATCCAAAACGATGTAGTTCTGGGTGTCATCCTGTATGGGAGCTGCGTTACGTTCCGTGAACGATCCATGGCAATCCTGAAAGAAATGGAATAAGAAAATTTGAAATTAAAGTTGCAGGAAATTATAAGTTGATGTATGGGACGAAAAATAAATTAAAAGTTGATAAATGATAAAATAAATGAATAGGTAGAAAATATTTTAATATTAACAATTTTGCTAGGTTTTCGTGTACGGTAACGGGTTTTAAGTAAAAAATTGTAAACATTTATTGGGTCTTCAAAACCAATTACTCTATTGCAGGTTCGGGAACAGAACTATTCTTATCGAGTCGTAGAACTTAGAAGGTAACCTTGTTGAGATATATATAAATAAATTCAAAATATCCAAAAATCAGGGGATGGGAACCTATTTTATTTTCAGATTAATTTAAAAAAGTAAATTCCAGAAAATATAGAGCTGGATATAAGACTACCTTCTTTATTCCAGTTGAAACCATGACCTTGGGAATCTGGTGAAATATACAGGGCGAGATAAAAAAAACTGCAACAAAGTCAAATGCCATAATTTTATTTTTTTTTTTAATTTTCTTGAATGAAAGCAAAAATGTCGGAAATAGCATCAAATTTTAGAATTTGATTTGTTCGAATTGGTCAACGTTGGAATTATGGCCTTCAAACGGCCAATGAAACCGTCACACGGTGATCGAATGTTGCTCTGCGGTTTTTAGGTCCATTCCCGGCGAAGCGCTTGCTTGAGGTGATCGACACTTTGGCATTTTTTAGTGCTAACCTTGCTTTCCAAAATACTCCAGACACAATAGTCCAACGGATTGGTATCCGGAGATTTTAGTGGCAATTGTGCGCTGGAAATGAAGCGAGTAACCTCATTTTGTAACCATTTTTGGGTGGTGCGTGCTGAGTCCTGTTGGAATGTCTAAGGTCTGTGGCCAAAATGTTTGCGTGCCCAAGGCTTAATACACCCTCCAGGATATTTTCGCGATTAATACGAGCAGAGAGCGACCATCGGCTGTTTTGGCGGCCCATGTTTTCTCATCGTAGAAAACCAAATTCGGCAGTTCACCTCTTTCGGCCAAGCGAAGCAACTCTCTTTCGAAGCTCTTTTGAGTCTATTTTCCTTCTGTTGCGGTGTAAGTTCTTGCGCTTTTTGGAATTTCAATGGATTTACCCCGAGCTCATTTTTCAATATTTGCCGAATGGAATATTGCGATATGTTCAGCTCACAAGTCATTTTTCGGCCACTGCGACGAGGATGCGAAGCAAGTCTTTAGCTCTTTTGAGTCTATTTTCCTTCTGTTGCGGTGTAAGTTCTTGCGCTTTTTGGAATTTCAATGGATTTACCTCGAGCTCATTTTTCAAAATTTGCTGAATATAATATTGCGATATGGTCAGCTCACGAGCCATTTTTCGACCACTGCAACGCGGGTTTCGATTTTTTGGTTTTCCAGCCAAATATAAAGAAATCGCACTATCACGCTTGAATTCCATTCAATTCCGAATTTTCCGGAAAAATCCCCACCAAAATGATTTTGTGCGCTTGCAAACAATATAATGAGCTGTCGCTGGAATAATTTTGACGAGTGGCTTAGAAATGACAGCAGTCTGAAGTTGGTTGCAGATTTTTCATCTCACCCTGTAGATTCGGACATAAAAAATGTGGGAAGCTTTGTGTGAAATTCTACTAAGATGCCGTAGGTGTCTGGCTTTGGAAATAAATCTTAAATTTTATTTGTAGCATCTCTGAAAATTGCCTCATTATTTACATTATTGATATTCAGTTATTTAATAAATATGTGTGTTGTTTTCAAATGACTGTGGTTAAAATATCCATTTTATTGAAACGCCCCATTTATGCGAATTTGTAAATTCCGCAGCTTTTGCAATTAATATGGACAAATTATACACAATCATTTAACAACTTTGACCTCCATCCCCCTCTTCCACATATTTCTAATCTTTCGGAACTTTCAAATATATATATTTGAATCGTTAGTGTAAACATTCATAACAGTTGCTAATCCATGGACAAAAAGCTGCCGCACAACACCTCCATCATCGCTCGACTCGACACTAAGATTTATTTATTAGGTCTTCAAAACCAACATCATTTATCTGCAAAAGTCTCTTCGGAATGTCACTAAAGTGAATAGTTGTGAGAGGATGTGGCAGGGGTGTGTGGGGTTTTTCGTGTAAAATTTCTCATTTTTAATATTTTTATTTCATCCGAACGAACAGTTCCTTTTGAGTTTTTCAAGACAAAGAATATTTATCATTACATATCCCGAATATTCCCACATGCTGAAGTGACATGGTTTGCCAGAATCATTCGTTTGCATTCCACCCGTCCGCTCTCTCGCTCGCTCACTCACTCCTTCTGCTACTGTTACGAGCTTTGGATTTCACTGGCATGGGACAATAAAACAATAATTCAAACTGTCACCTGATGAGACATAAGAAATGTAATAAAAAAGTCTAAGCACCAACGGAGACAATGATTCAGAATGAAGGCGCTCACAATACCAACACCAACAACAACGACGAGAACAAAAGACCAATATAAAGTGAGAGAGGTATTAAAGAAATCAACTTAAACGGGGCTTTGAAATAAGACAAAGAAAAAAAAAAACACGAACGAAACACAGAGAATGTTAGGTGGGTACTGTGGGTACGACCAGAACAACCCATTTTACGGAACGTTACGAGACCAAAATGTTTTGTTTGTTGTTGCTGTTGTTGTTATTATTATTCTGCTAAACACTTACAGCGTTGACGTCCAACATCATCAACATATCATGTGAACAGAATTAATTTAATGGATCTACTTTTTAGGCTCCGTGGAGGAGGAGCAGGAGTAGGAGGAATATTCTCATTCACACTTAACTGTTTTAAAGCCGGAGTAGATGGCAAATATGGGTGCCTATTTTTTGAGGGATTTGTCATACATACACATATACGTTCATACAAAATGTATGAATTTATTTGCAATGAAGTTTATCCATTCTGATGAGAAACTCAAAGTAATTGAATTAAAATCTCTTTGAAAGCCTTTGACAACATATCATTCTTTATTGCATTAATGCTTCCGAAAAAATAATGCAATTATTTTTTCAGTTGATAATTAGGATTTGTTTTGTTAAATCTATTGCATTTGAAAAATTTAATTTTTCTAGCAATTAGGCAAAAATTGGAGAAAAGTGGAACATTCTGGATTTGCTAACTTCATTAGTGTTCATTAGCTAGAGTTGGCAAATGCATTTAGACCTTAAGTTCGCTCAAACTAATTATTGAGCAAAGTTGTCTTATTTGCAGCTATGTTTCAAAACGCGCAGGAGTATGCAACTTCAACATATATTCAATCACGGAGCGTGAACGCCAAAGGTCGGGACTCAGAGTCGGTAAACAAAGAAAATTTGTTATATAATACTATAACTAAGTGATGTAGTAGTAAAACCCTGTTTAAACAAAACATATTTTAATAAATCACGTCAATAAGATTAACAATTCTTTTGTTTATAAATTGCAAAACACGGCATTTGAATGTCCAAAGGCCAAATTTTTGTGATCGTGGCGTAGGGTATGCTCAGAAGATTGTGAGTTCATTACCAGCATTGGACAAAATAAAAAAATTATCATAGGAAGACGAAACGTACATTTACGTCAACTATTTGGAAAATAATTTTCTGTACTTATTTTTCGGGGTCCCAGGGGGCCAGATTTGGAACGAATTTGGCTATATTCAAAAACATAAAATCCGTTAAAATCTTAAAAATGCCGAATGTAGCTGTTATATTAGGGTCTAAACGACGATCTGGACCTGCAAAGGCAACTTTTGTCGTAAGCCATTATAATATTCAAATGAGAAACTTGCAAAAAATCGGCGAATAATGTAGCTAAATCATCGATATGGGTAGGTACTATTATATGGGGGCAATTTTCAGACAATTTTCTGCCTTAGGCTGCAGTATCCATTACGAACCTCAAATACCAAATTTGAAACAATTGTGATGAATAATGTCGCTAAAACATCAAAATACCAAATATAGGGATGTACCGTTATATGGGGGCTATAAGAAGATAGGCTGTAGTATTCGTTACGAACTTCAAATACCAAAGTCATCAAAATACCGAATATCGGAAAGTACCGCTCTATTTTGGGGCTATACAAAGACGTGGACCAGTACAGACAATCTCCTGTCATATGATGTAGTATCCATTACGAACTTCAAATACCAAATTTGAAACAATTGCGGCGAATAATGTAGCTTAAATCAACAAAGTACCGAGTATCGGTAGGTACTGTTATATGGGGCTATGCCAAACCGCGGACCTGTTTCCATGGCCCATTTTTAATACCAAAAGTCCTGCAGACATAATAAAGTGTTACAAACGCAATGACAAACCTAATATACGCGCCAAACTCTGGTGGAGGGTATAATAAAGTAAGGAATTGTGATATAGATGTTTAAAGTACTCCTAAGAAGCTTGGTATTGAAAATGTGCCGTATAAGTTCACATTTAAGCCCCATATAATGGTTACTTCTAATTTTTGATATTTAACGGATTTGGTTCCAACCATATCAGCTATAATAATAATCTGATATTTCCGGTTCTCTGTGGGTAGTTTAACTCCTCGCAAAAATATTCAATGTATGTCCACTTTTTGGTATAGTTCCATATAACGGTACCTCCCGATTTTCGATATTTTGAAGGTTTCGGTCCCGATTTCCAATCAAATCAGCTCTCTCTCAACTTTCACATTTTAGGTATTTTGAGGATAGCTGATTTGGTCACAAATCACATTTCTATATAGTTTAGGAAATAAACAATTTGGCCTGTCTCACTTAATTTCTTTTTACTTGCTGGTTTCAAAATTTTTGGAGCGCCTAAAATTATGCTATAAAAATTCTAAATATACAGATGAAAAAGTTAAGTTATAACATAATGTATAAATTAGTCTTTAAAGAGAATAGTATAAAATAACAGTGTGATAAACCGCTTAATGTCTTGTGAGAACTACTCAGTAGGTCAAAGGACATGAGGCGAAATATGTTTCAAACT